CCAGCCTGCTGGACCAGCTGCTTACGAGTGGTGTTCAAACGAATGTTTGCAGCACGATTAAAGAGTGCTTTACAAACCGCATTCCCTTCACCCAGCTTAACGGTACAGAGTCATTTACACATCACTGCGATTGTCTTGCATTGCAGAGAGTGATCCTCTCACCCTCTCTATTTTCTTTATACCTCGAAAAACTTCCCATACCATCTAAATTTATTGGTTGCAAATATGCTTTCGATGTCATTTTAGTATATAACACTTCTACGGTTGAAACATCGTCTGAACACCCCATAGGTGCTACAATGTAACAGTCTCCTTTCTTCGGGTCGATAAGCTACAGGTTGTTTGAACGTTCCTTCTTCACTGGCAGTGAATGAGCAATTAATATTCAAGACGTCAACTGCCAAATATCCGGGAGTCTTTTCATCCCAAAGCCTATATAAGTCTACTCAGGTTAGCAGATTACTCTTATGCTCCCTCAGACTAAAAGGGTTTTCGGTAACTCGTGACTTGATATTGAAATCTGTGATTCCATGCACTCTACCCAACAGGCTATAATGTTTCCTACTTCTTCCTGGGCTACTGAAAAAAGGAGCACATATTAACGTTTTGATTCGTTCTCCGAGCTGAGTAATTTAATGTCAAACGTTTCACCACTTCCCTCAGTGGCATCTTCAGTGTACAGCTCCGTAGGGGAAATCTCACGGAAAATGTCGTTGGGACGTAGCGTTTGAAAATAGCCTCGTCGATCTGTGTCCCGTGACCTTCGTTTGTTCGATACTTAGCCGTCCAGCTTCACGCTTTCTCAGCTGTAGGTACACGGGATCGAGATCAATGCGGAGGTTCAGGGAATTCTCCGTAGAGATCCATGCCTCGAGGAATTCCCTTCCTTTTCTTGTCCCTCCGTGCGCCAGAATTTCTGTTTTGTCCCAGTTAACACTGTGTCCTTCCTCATCGAGGTGTGCTGAGATCTGTGACGATACATGATGATATCGACACAGATCTCAGCACACCTCGATGAGGAAGGACACAGTGTTAACTGGGACAAAACAGAAATTCTGGCGCACGGAGGGACAAGAAAAGGAAGGGAATTCCTCGAGGCATGGTTCTCTACGGAGAATTCCCTGAACCTCCGCATTGATCTCGATCCCGTGTACCTACAGCTGAGAAAGCGTGAAGCTGGACGGCTAAGTATCGAACAAACGAAGGTCACGGGACACAGATCGACGAGGCTATTTTCAAACGCTACGTCCCAATGACATTTTCCGTGAGATTTCCCCTACGGAGCTGTACACTGAAGATGCCACTGAGGGAAGTGGTGAAACGTTTGACATTAAATTACTCAGCTCGGAGAACGAATCAAAACGTTAATTACGAACCCGAGCTACAGGAATTCCGAATCATTGCAAGGAGCACATATTGTTCGTAAGGTCGTTAAAACTTATTGTAGATGTAGTGGATTGGCCAAAGAGGTCCTGATTAATATTAATGGAAGCAATCATGCGGGCGCCTGTACTGATCTTTCCTTAAAGTTCTAAACCACCCTTTCTACCCACCACATGGTGCTCTATCGAAAGTGCTCCAAATGTAGAGTCGCATTTTCTCGTATTGTATCATACCACAATTCTATCCTTTCGTACTTTTCACGATTAGTTGTTGACTCAAAATGAAACCATCTATATAAGGTACAAAAAGTGGTTACTTGAGCGATAAGAGTTCAAATTTCGCAGTCAAAACATTATTTGTTTTTATACATACATTTATATATTTCTCTCGAAGCAACTATTATATGGTCAGCTGAATATTGGGAAGCGGCACGTGGGGAAACCAAAGTTACGATACCAGGGCATGATTAAAGTGAGCCTCACACGTTTTAATCTTGATTGCAGATCATGGGAATTGAAGGCGGTTGATCGGCGTGCATGGCGCGATTTAATCATGAAGTCAGTTGCCGAGGTGCAGGAGAAAGCCGTCATGCATGCAGAGAAGAAGCGGCAAGTGCGGAAGCGGCAAGCACCGATGGGTTGTTCTCCATCGACATCAAGCGCATGGTGCTGTAGAACATGCAGTCGCGATTGCCTTAGTCAGGCAGGCTTAGTGAGCCATGAGCGAGGCCACTCGGGACTACTACCGAAGCGACGACGGGTTCTGCAGAGAACGTAGGCAGAACCGGCGCAGCGTTTGTAGGTACGCTGCATTCGATTTACTAAACGCTTGCTTGCATGCTAAGTCTCTTTATTTCAGGTGGTGGGTTTTCAGTTTTGTCCTAATGCCTTCCTTTCTCATATAAATGTCTACCTGTACTCTATCCCATTAACTTGCACACCTCGCTTAAGCCAATTGTAGTCGATTTCCGTAATATTTTTGTGTTCGTGGCATTCCGTAAAATATACTTTCTGACCTCGTGAACGTATCTAGGATTCGTTTGTAAACAACTTATTTCATATGCTCATTAACCTAAGGTTTATGTCACCGTTTCCTTATGCATTAATCGAGTTATTTTTGTTGTCTCTCTCTCACACTCTCTCAAATGATTGGCTGTTGTTTGATATCCCCGGTGTGGCTGCGCTTGCTGTGCATGTTGACAAGGTGCCTACCTGTCTATTACCCATTGCCTCGTCCATACTGGCTCCAGGAGACAGTTGGTCGTTGCTGGAGGGGACGGGGTGCACGGTCCTTGTGGCCGTGTTAGGCTCGAAGAGTGGTTCCATGCACTCAGTATGGAGCGGACTACGGTCCAGCCACCGCCTTGTGTGCGCTTGATTCCCAAATACAGTGTGCTTATGTTTGCTGTGAAGGAGTGTGGGCCGGCTCTGTTGATGAAACGTGTTTCCCATCCGCATTCCTCCCGGTCTTATTCCTTCGGGTTTACACTGGATATGGGGTGTGTGGTTGGAGCTGTGGGTGGTGCAGCGCAAGCCACCCATGGTCCCTCTGTAGGCGCAGGCGTCCTGTGGCTTGCCACAGTGACAGGCAAATCGGAAACCGGATGCCGCCAACCATGTATTTCTCTCTTCGTAGTGATAATGTAAAGAGTTGCAAATGTGAATACCCGTGTTTATAAAGTCTATTCTGTCTTGCCTTGAGGAGTAAGGGTCCCTCAATCACCCTTTGGTATGTAAGGGTGCTCGCATTTTTAGTATCCTTAGTCGGCTTAAGTTTACATTCAAGAAATGAATTCCAGCAATGTCCAATGTTTAAGGATGCTATAAAATATGTAGCAGTCTGGAGATTTCTTCGACTTGTCTGGGGAAAAGTTTTAAAATTATTATTTCATTGTACCGGTGCCGATCACCGGACTTGTTGCTGAGTTTCATTGCTTGGCTCGAGCACCGCATTTGCTTGGCGTCTGTTTCGGTTGCAACGCGTGCCCCTTAGCTACCAACGTCAACGGTGTCGTCTTTTTCAGCTACGTCAACAGGGACCCTTTAACTGTAAAATATAAAAGCTTCTCTGTACTTGATCTGCTTTCAGAATCGCGATCTGAATTCCAGCTAAAAATGGTGAACACACAACATCACTTTTCTGAGGCGCTTTATATTCAGCAGGCTCACCACTCGTCTTGCGTAGGCAGCGAAACATGTGGTAGTTGTAGCAGAGGAAGGTGTCGCATTTATTAGTGTAGTATGCTCGGAAAGATTATGCTTCGCTCTAGTGAGCTTTTATTTACGTGTCAGCTTGTCAGCGCTACCAGAAAAACCAGGTACAATAATGCAAGAGACAAAGATCATTCTGCGGTATCCAAACTTGACGAATAATAACCATTCACTGTCGTGCAATTCGCCCACTTGCCTGCTGAAACCAATATGCTTCTGTAACACAGTTTTAACAATACAATGTGGGCTGTTCAGATTTAGCAAAACCTCGGAACACCTTAACGTTGCTTGGCTCAACGATCCGCTAGAGAAAGAACGTTCAAGGGATTTTCCTATCGTTCCCATTCCATCTGAATATACTGAAGCAACCGAAAACGTAAGTTTCGTCTGAGTGTAGTTCGAAATATAAGTTCACCGCAACGAGGAATCCTCGTGAGTTGTTGGGTAAAACGATGAAGATATGACTTCAGAAGGACTCACAGATAACTATGATGGGTCTTAACGTTTGCTAAGCATGTCTTTCTGAAATTGTGAATTCTCGACCCGTCCCTAGTTGGTTCCGTTTGAAGGATATCTGCTATGGTAGCTCTCCAAAAAGTTGATCAACTATCTATTGTTGACTTAACCCACTAACTGGTACTGACCGAATGTCCTAGAACAAGCTTCTCGCAGATTTTTACAACCGAAGAGAATACTCTCAGCAAAGCCACTTAAAATGGGAGATAGAAACACAACAGCACCAATGAAGCGTAATAAAGATTGAGTTAGGTGTGTTTAGAGCAAACAATAACAGTGTGTCCGCTGTACGCTGTATCGGCGCTTCGCCACCCCGCGACCACCACCAATCGCGCGTGGGCTGAGTATACAGCGAGGACACTCGCCCCTGCGCGGATTCGAATCGGTGCTCTTTTGGTTGTAAGCCAAGCGCGCAGACTACTCGGCCACTGACCGACGTACGTGTGTTTAACTGGCAATATGTATTGAGAGGCGATGGGCAACGAAGATATGCAATTCTTATGGCATTGATTGAAGCATAACTAATTAGCGCTTCCTAGTCCCACTCATAATCGCTTGATTAAAACAAATTCTCATGGGTACCAGCGGTCCACAATATCCACTTTTGAGCGGTGATAATTGCTTATAGCCTGTATTATCGAGCTTTCCTGTAACAGCTATCGATTCATTTTACTAGAGTTCGAGTCTTGAATTGATATTTGCTTCACAGTTTCGGGTTTCCCGTCAGTCATATTTGTGTTCCTCGGTCTGACTTTCTATGTACTTGTTTAGATACCTTAGATAAGCCCATCATTTTCACAATGTTCGACTTCATTAAATCGCAATACGTGGGAAAAATAGGACGCAAAGTAATTTCAGATACGCGCTGACGTTATATTGGCCTGAGCTCACCTTGATCTGTTTTGTCTTCTCCTTTATCATTGTCTGATAAATGTTCATCTGTTCAGCAACTTCTGGTCCCGGCTGTCGAGCTAAAATGTGCTTCAGTTCGATATAGAGCTTCTCTTTTTCTTGAATGAGCAATTCCTTTTCCACAACTTCCTCTGTCTTGCTGATGAGTCGTTTTTGCAGCGCTTGAATTTTCAAAATCATTTCATAGGTAGAAGGATCGCTGCCCTAGATAAATAGGATTGGTGAGAAATGTGGACCATTCTTCCTCTAAGCACCAAAATGAGGAAAACCAAACAAGAAACGAAACTTAAAATTAAACATTCTGGCACATTACCTCTGGCAAATAGCTAAACTCCCGCCATCCATCGAAATAATATATCTAGCAAAAGGCAAAAATAGACGCGTTCAAAGAAATTATGGTCTGACTAGCCGTTTTCACATCATCGCCAAAAACCGGTTGGTACTCCACTGATCCGATTCCATATTTGGTATATGGTACTATACAAATTGAAACTGGCTCTTTGAAATACTATCATAGAATAACCACACAAATGCGAGTCCACCCAGACTAATTGTGCCATACAATCCAGCGCAAGTCTTCAGTAATGAAGGAAATCGAGTTTTCACGTACCTCAAGCTTCCGCCATCGGTGGACGTTGACAGGGTTCTGCAGTTCTTCCTCCAGCGCTTTTGCACGGGTTCGTTCTCGGACCAATTCACGTTGGACCCTATGCACCTCTGATTTAAGGTCCTCCATTTTGGAAGCTGTGGACTGCAATATCGCCTTTTCTCTCCGTAATTTTCGCACCTCTTGCTTCAAGAGGTTCAGATCACTTAACCGCTTGTTATATTGCTGTTCTCCTTTGTGCAGTATGGATTGCTCTATCCTTATTTTCTCGTATAACAACGCCAGCTCATCGTTGCGCCGCACCAGTTGGTTACCAAGCACATCGCGTTCACTTATCACTTGCTCATGTTCTTTTCTTTCGCGTATTCGCTCTTGTTCTGCTTCGGCAACTATTTTCAACAGTTTACCTTCCTCAGCCTCCTGCGCCTCTATGTAGGCGCGGTTTTCCGCTGCCTGAACTTTCATTCTTTGCAGCTCTTTAGTGAGCTGCTCTTTCTCTTTTTCCACCCGCTGTAGTTCCAGGTTTTCTTTGACAAGGGTTGCTTCTTTTGTAGCTATATCGTCTTTCAACTGATCGACCTGGTGAGACAGTATTTTCAGTTTACGTTTCATTTCCGCGATATCATCCTGAGCTTCGATAAGGTTTTTGCTGTACAAATTCCTGTCACTGCGAACAGCTTCATAGAGGTTTTGCTGCTGCTTTAGTTTAGTTTCAGCTTCCGCAATGCGCTTTTTATATTCGAAAATTTGCATTTCACGATACTTTAGTTCATCCATATTTTGTAACACCTTCTGTGTCAAATCAGACGCATCTGTGATGTAGCGGTCGCGTTCCCGTTCAAGCTTATATATGATTTTACGCTGCTTTTGTGCTTCGTCTCTGTAGTTGATAATTTCTTGCTCCAAATTTTGCTTCGACAATTCGTGCATTTTTAGCAGGTTCGTCTGCTTGTTCGTCTGGGCGACTGCTTTGGTCAGGCTTTTGTTTAGTTGTTCCTTCTCTTTCGCCAATTCGTCACAGGCTCTGCGATCGGCTTCCTGCGCCTTCCGCATAGCGTCCATCTCATTCTCATAGGCCTGTACTTCACTGCGAAGCCGATCTCGAGTACTTTGTAGAGTGGCTTTCTCCTCTTCGCTCTGACGCAACTTCTTTTGAGCTGCCTCTTTCTGTTTCATCACTTTGCTACATTCTGCTCGCAGAGCATTCACTTCTTCTTCGAGTTGCTAGAAAAAACAAGATGAGTAAAAGAATCACAAGTACACGATTATTGTGATAACTTATTGATTATCCATGGGAATGCATCTGGCGTATTCTAGACATTATGCATGGTATTACTACTGTTGTTATAATTTCACTACTAACTCCTAGTCATTAGCATGTATCGTCCCGTTATCCGCTTAATATTGACACAACAAACTTGACAGTATGCTGAGATCACTTTCAGGATAATAGCCCCACTCGTGGTCTGATCAAACAATCCTAGTGACGTCACAGTGTGTGTCCCGTGTTATTGCAATGAATCGGCTATCTCACTCGCGCATCAATTTTATCTATGATAACAAAATAATCCCTATGTTTGTCTTTCATTCATCTCGAATTCAGTTCCACTTACTCACTCCAGGACATCTATCACGGTCTTAAGCTGTGCTGCATAGCTCTCTGCATGTCAATTTTAACAATCCCTAATAGATTCAGAGAATCATAAGAGATTCGCTTAGGCCACTTCAGCGCTGCAGCCTGATTTGTGAAAACACATCATCCCCGAGTTTGGCGTGCAGACTAGAAAGTTCATCTCGCAATACCGATGTCATCACACCACCACCGCCTTATCTTTTGACACGTTGACTCGAAGTTCACACCAGTTGATGCTCATAAGACGTAGTCAGATTGACTTTTTTAATCTCACATCCGTAGTAAGAAAGGATAAACGTTGTTCACCTCTATCCCATCCCTTAGACCACAACATATATTGCGCGTAACTGTTTGTTTTCGTCATGTCGCTTAGGCTGTATAGTTAAAACCTTCCGCAACAATTTAGAAGGCAACTGGACAAGAAAGCACAATAGCCCCGGCGATGCGACGGCTGAAACATAAGCTATGTGAACACGTATTTTGTGGCCAGTCTCATGTTATCCGGTGAGTTTAGGTGGGTCAAATGACGTTGTACCGTTGTTCTTTTAACCTTTGGCAATACCTGATGAGTATTAGAGAACTAGCCATTCTGTGCATGTGTCCACAGCTCATGAGGACACGCGAAAAATACGCAAAAGGACAACTTGAACTATGTGGGAGTTTTCACATCTCAACGGTGATTTGCGGCAGACAAGGTTTGTACGATTCTACCTGCGGACACCTAAGCAACATTCTACTTGTCCGAGTTGTATGCACCTGGTTTCATACACATTCAGTATGAGTGCCAAACCAGCGTTGTAATTGCTGCGGCAATGTATTGCCGACTGTAACTTTACACATGGTCACGGAAGTGGACAGTTATCTCAGACCTACGAGTTGCATGTATGCCAAAATTCACGAAGTGGCAACAGTCGAGTTACGAGTTTCAGCTACACGGAAGTCAGGAGGAAGGCGAACTGCTGGCGAGTTCCGAAAGGATGTAACAGCCGTACAGGTAAGGACAGCCTGATCTAGGAGTGGAAAACGACACATGGTGGTTTGCGGATATGGCAATACCGAAACCCTCAACTTCAGTGACGGTTCCAGGGATCGGATTCGCAGAGCTTGAGTTCAAAGTCAACCAAGGCACTAATTGAGATTGCGAGTCGCAACCCAAGACACACGGCGGGTACTTTAAAACCCAACATTCAACTTCTAACCGTTGTGTCAAGCGCTGCTTGCGGAGCGCAATGGTCTAGTGATCGTAGTGATAGCTGCCCAACACCATGTGCCGAGTTCCACTCCCAGATCAGGCTATCTCTATCTGACTAGTCCAAACAAGGAGGAAACGCGTTATGAAGTACATTGACAGAAACTCGCCACGGATGTACATTGCTTTTCCGCGCATATGGTGACTGACTGACTGAGTATAGTTGTTATGAATTTCGATGTATAATAAAGGCAGTTGCCTTTCTCCCATGTGGAAAACCTTGTAACTGGCGCTGACTTTGGTTAGCTGGAATCGCCCGCGAGGAGTGCGATATAACTAGTTGCCAGAAAGTAACATTGAACTCCCGAGCACTATTGCCTTCAATCCATGCAGTCGAGAATTCCTAATAGTAATAATAATGATAATAATAATAATCAACATCATCATCGTTATCATTATACACGTTAGCTAGAGGTGGGAAACACCTCAGCTACTGTGCTGCAATACACAAAAGAAAAAGGGGGAAATGCAACTGATGCAAGCCAGCTGAGCTACCGGTAACGGATGGGAATCGGTTCGGTAAGCTACCAGCCGGCTACTATGCAACAAAAAATATTTACTATGTAAAATTATATAAGGCTAAGTAGTGAGATCGTGGTTGGAGATGGAGGCTATGAGGGATGAAGTGGGACAAAGAAACCAGTGAGGTCGGCTGCTAGCCATGTCAGCAATTGTATCCAGCCAAACGTGTTCATCATCTTTCGGATCCCAAGCAGGGAGCCGAGACGCTCCAATGGAGGCCAGCTTCGAAGTGAAGGCCTTCGTTCCTCTCGACCAAGTCATCGCTTGACCACCCCTCCTCTTCTTCGATCCACACCCCCGGCGAGCAAACAACGCACGTCGCGGGAGTCGGTGGGCTAGCATGCGTAACACGTGGCCGCGCCATCGAAGCATGGTGCGTGAAATAACGGTGCTGAGCGGTTCAATTTTTTTCCTGTGCCGTTAACAAGGCTTCGAACACGCTCGTTGCTCATTCGATGTTCACACCAGATGTGAGCTAGATTGCGAAGGCACGAAGGCACCGGTGGTTTTTAATTATCGAAACTGCTTCCTGTTTTTAACTCGCAGGTAAACGAGCCCCTTTAAAATTGTTAAACACGTGGTTGAAGAAAGATTGTATTCTTTGGCGAAATGAACAACCTCCCAGGTCCCTAGCAAATGCTACCATTATGGTCGTAAAATCGCGAAATGGAAAATGTTTCAGTCATTAAATAGTTAACAAGTTTTTAGTCATGGAGTTCAGTGCACACCATCGAAGCACTATAACTCGCCTTTACTTCCAACAGCCTGCCGTGATTTTCGACCATAACCGAATCGGTAACTTGCATTTGCTGCTCAAGCTTCGTCTGACAATCCTTCAGCTTCGTCTCTGTCACTTGTAGCTGACGGTTGGCTTGTTCCAGCGAAACCTTGGTATTTCGGTTATCCTCCTCCTTCTGACGCAACTCCTGTTTCAGCTTGTCCACTGCGACAGATGTCAGCCGAATCTCCTCCACCTTGGCCTCGACTTCCGCACGCACTTGTTTCAGCTCCCGTTCCATTCGTTCCTTTCTTCGAAGCTCTCTTTGCGCTTCAGTATTTTTGGCCTGGAGTAGGTACGAGAAATGGAACAATGGTGTAATACGGGTAAAAAGCCAAATGCCTAGTAATTCCCATAGGATGACCAGAAGGAGAAGCTCGAGACCAGTGAAAAGAAAACACAGTGATAGAATGAAAAGGGTTTAGATGGACTCACATCATTGTTCACACACAGGCATGCATCAAAGAGTCAACTTGCATAGGTTAATGCTGGTCGTGCAGCGTTTGTCGGAGTACATCGTTTATCCATCTACGCAGGCTATCTCTCCTAATGTAGGTGGCTTAAGGCAACGTCAAGGCGCTTCTAAAACCGTTAATGTGGAGGGCGTTCCACGGCTGGTAGACACCAGGAGAGTGAAAGTTTCGGCGGCATCTTAGCCGACAGTATCGCGTGGTCAACTTAACGTTGTGGACACTCGAATTCATGTTGGGACTGAGATGCAGTAGGTGGCGTCAGATGTGGTTGGGATTCCTTGGAGTCCGGTAGATTATTATTAGGTCATTACATAAGTGCCGATACTGATCGCTGTATAATCCCAAGGATTTCTGGCTAAGTGTAGATGGAAGGCGGAAGAACCCTTTGATGTGCGTAATGACTCCGTTGTAGAGTGTCGTGCGCAGCGAGATCTTCGTCGTGTCAGATCTGCTAGGTCTGGATTGCTTATTCCATCCGAGACGGCACTTATGTGTTAAGAATCTGTGGGCAGACAGAGAAATCAAACCACCGAATGCTCTCTGCAGGATACCAAGGTGTTGATTCCCCGCCTTTGAAGCTGAGCAACTGATGTTAGCCTGAAGGAAAGCTATAGTTCATGTGGATGTTACAATCAGTCGGGGATATTCTTTTCTCAGCTGTCAACAGCCGTGACGGTTGCCCAGTAGTATAAGAATGGAGACGTCTAAAGGAAACTGCCCGGGTCATCTCCAACTACAAGCTGCAAATCGATACGAAACGGTTCACGAAGAACAGAGATGAGAGGGTGAGGTGCCAAATTGTGCTTCGTTTTTGTTCGAGCACCGTGAGGCTTAGCTGTCATCACCACCATCATCATCATCATACACGTTAGCTAGAGGTGGGGAACACCTCAGCTACTGTGCCGCAATACACAGAAAAAAGGAGAAAAAAAGAATTCAAATGGGGCAAGCCGGCTGAGCTACCGGTAACGGATGGGCATCGTTCCGGTTACGTGTTCAACCAATGATCGCTCACTATGACCGTGAACCTGATTGGCCCTACACACACACGTAGATAAGCACGCACACACGCACTCAAGGACACACCCTAACGTTCCGTGTTCACATGTAAACCGTTAAGTGTTCAGTATACTGTGCGCCAGACTGACGCGTCTTCTTGCTTATTCGCTACTAGTTGAAATACGTACTTGCGGTTAGAGTCCAGCTGTGATAGGGAACACCTCAGCTACCGTGCCGCAATACACAGAAAAAAGGCGAAAAAAAGAATTCAACTGGGGCAAGCCGGCTGAGCTACCGGTAACGGATGGGCATCGTTCCGGCAAGCCACCAGCCGGCTACTATGCATCAAAAAAATTACTATGCAAAATTATATAAGGTTAAATAATGAGATCGTGGTTGGAGATGGAGGCTAAGAGGGATGGGGTGGGACAAAAAACTCACAGCACGAACGCCACTGAGGTCGGCTCCCAGCCATATCAGCAAGTGTATCCAACCAAACGTGTTCATCGTCTTTCGGACCCCAACCAGGGAGCTGAAACGTTCCAACCGAGGCCAGCTCAGAAGTGAAGGCCTTCATTCCTTTGGACTTAGTCATCGCTTGGCCACCCCTCCTCTTATTCCATCCACACCCCCCGGCGCGCAAACAACGCACGTCGCGGGAGTCGGTGGGCTGGCATGCGTAACACGTGGCCAAGCCATCGGAGCCTGGTGCGTGAAATAACGGTGCTGAGCGGTTCAGTTCCTATTCCTGTGTCATAAACAAGGCGTCGGACACGATCGTTGCTCACGCGGTGTTCCCATCAGATGTGAGCTAAATTACGAAGGCACCGGTGGTCGAACGTAACTAACCTCTTCAGGTCCGTTGCTTTAAGCGGCCAGGTTTCACAACCGTACAGTAGGGTCGAACGTAAAGCTTAGCTGTTCATGGGATGGAACGGAGAGTAAACAATAGGTCTGCGATCCATACTTCATTTGGACTTAACGTAGCAAGTGCATGTTAAAGAGCAACAGGCCAACATGTGCCTTGTGCTGTGATTGGTACCCGTGTTTCTATTTTAACGGATACTCGTCAACAGAAGTTCAGGGATGGTTTTCTATTCTTTTGTGTGAATTACTCACAATGCTTTTGTACAGTGTGATTGGGTCGATAAGCATTCAAATCGCGGTAGGTTTTCCACCACCATCAAAAGCAGCCGGAGGGAGTTGTGAATTTAGTTGTGACATGAACTGGATAGCTTTTCGTCCTGCACAGAACTTTATTGGACTGACAAATTTCGCAGTACTTCGCACCTTACGACCGCGACTGCTATGTAGCTGCACATTTCGGGGCTTCTAGCTAAGTTGCATTGTCCAAGTTCGCTCTCGCGGATGGCAAAGATAGTTCACTGCAGAAGAGAAAAGTGGATTTATAGACATAGTTGAGCTTTTAAAACGGGACTAATTGAGCGCCCACCTCCAGAATCCTAGGTTGCCCTTGCCAGGTAGAGATTGAACAAAACAAGTACTAGTCATCGGTCTATTCCAGATGAATGCAGCCTGAGTTAGCTGCTCCGTAAGAAGATGTCAGCACCAACATCCGGAATCGCGGAAGGTGCTGTATTGGTTCAAGCCTCTGGGATTCAATATCCGTTTCTGAAAGAGCTTAGGCGTGTCATAGTATCCACGCTAGAGTGGTGCCGCTTGCGGCCAATTGGTAAGGAGGCCTTAGCATGAACAATGGAACAAGGGTTTATGACGAATAAAAAGCGTAGAGCAAAAAGGTCCGCAGATTTTTAATGGTAGGAATTGCAAATTAAAATACTACACAGGTGGATCATATTAAATACACATCGGTGAAACAATAGAGTGTTGGTGTATAGTAGGGTTCTGGGAGTGAGATGATACCACGCAAAATGGAAGAACAAGTGGTCATGGGTAATGCTTATTGCAAATAACCATTGGATTGCTCATACAGGTTTATGTACGTCAAAGGGGGTTACGATCCCAAGGAAGCTAATTAGCCTGAATATATCCCAGATTTCCGTATCAAAGTATAGGGAGCCCAGTGCGATACCAAAACGTTTTTTTGGAAACGATACGATGTGAGCATGGACAACTGAGCTCGGAAGAGATTTCCAGGGTTGGCAGACCCGGAGGGAGAAGTATGTCGGACGACAATCTAGATGACTGTATTGTCGAACTAAATCAAAAATTACCTCTCAGCTTATTGTTTGAGCTGAGTTTCAGAAGGTGGATCATACGTGAGTGGGATACTTCAGTATTTGGTACGCTAATATGAGGTCACCACGTAGTTCCAGTTTGCATCCACCGAACACTCCGAATTTTTTTCATTAGTTCCTGGTACTAAAAGTGGCGAAAACATTTGACATATTTTGATACTTGAGCTTGCTGGGTCTCTAGCACTGCAAACTCACACTTTAGTCAAAGTTGCCAAGCCTGGTTAGCATATTCGGTTAACGTATGGTAGGAATAGATGACTTGGCAAGTTTGAGCTGTCCGCCTTAAAATCTACGCACATGCTGAATGCACCGGTCTTTCACGGTCATAATAATAGGTGTGAATGATGATCCGAGCTCTATCCGGTGACGCGCAGTCAGTAGGTGTTTACCTATTGAGGAAGCTGGCGGCTTGCGCAAGCACGGAACTTCAATGGGACAGGGATGCTGGTCCATTTCACGTCGAACCCACCTTGGCACGTGTTCCTTTATTCGGGAAGTCAAAGACCGATTGGTTCTGTCTATGTAACTGTCTCCGCAGTCGCACACGAATTTGTATGTGCAGTGTGAGTTGGCCCCTATCGGTTGTGTTTCCTTGGTTGGAGGCACCGGCAAATTATAGGTTCTATTGATGACCACAACCTGAGCAGCGCAGTAACTTCTCTGCTTAGCAGAGATTAAACGTTTCGTGGTTTTCAATACAGTGAAGTCACCCTTGAAAGGCAACTCGGTATAGATCTTTTTCTTGGCTGCCGTATGCACCAAGTCTTTCGGGCCTTGCTGTTGGCTGTATTTCTCTATAAATCTACGTGGATAGAAAGAGGCATATACGCATAAATAGCCCAGTTACCATACTATAAGCGTTATGTGGATGACATATTGGCCTTTCGTTCATCGGAGCAGCAGATTGTCCAGTTGGTGCAGCAACCCAACTATGCATATATCAACTTGTGGGTCACCTGCGAAGTGAAACAGAAGAACTGTCTGCCATTCTTAGACATCCTCATCAGTCGCAGGAATGACGGGCTCATTAAAAGGTCTATATACAGTAAAGCAACCTGGTCCGGCCAATACCTGCACTTCACCAGCTTCACACCAGTGCGCTACAAGCGGACCCTTGTGAAAAATTTAGTTAGTCGTGCTAGACGAATTTGCTCGGCTAGTTGTCTAGCCGACGAGCTAGAGTTAATTACAGCAACACTCGTTGCAAAATATTAGATTTATAGAGAAATACAGCCAACAGCAAAGGCCCGAAAGACTTGGTGCATACGGCAGCCAAGAAAAAGATCTATACCGAGTTGCCTTTCAAGGGTGACTTCACTGTATTGAAAACCACGAAACGTTTAATCTCTGCTAAGCAGAGAGGTTACTGCGCTGCTCAGGTTGTGGTCATCAATAGAACCTATAATTTGCCGGTGCCTCCAACCAAGGAAACACAACCGATAGGGGCCAACTCACACTGACATACAAATTCGTGTGCGACTGCGGAGACAGTTACATAGACAGAACCAATCGGTCTTTGACTTCCCGAATAAAGGAACACGTGCCAAGGTGGGTTCGACGTGAAATGGACCAGCATCCCTGTCCCATTGAAGTTC